TTAAGACCCCTTCACTGCGCCTATCGGCCATTATAGAACATGCAGTGATTGCGGCAAGCCTCCCTCGTCGGCTTCGAGTCAAACATTGCTATGACTCTGAAGTAGACGAAAACAGGGCTCAAATACAAGAGTATTTTGAGTGAGGGGAGAATTTCGAGGAAGACCAAATGAGGATAAATTTTTTTGAGACTCAGAGACTCAACACCGCTTTGCGCACATTGTCTAGATAAGCTTAACCGAGTAAGTTAACAAGTTTAGACCTGCAGTCTAATTCCTTTACCATTATTCACTACTTGGATTCAGGTAGGAACAAGTTTAAGCTTGTTCAGACAGTGCAAAGAGTTTCTTGGTTCCACAATAGATGATAAGTTAATTTGAACCTCATCTCTAATTGGCGAGCCACTAAAATAATATGCGAGGAAACAGTTTATAAGGCCCATGGACCAACCTGCCAAAGTGAGTAAGACTCAGCCTCAATCTTCTGTAAAATTAGCAATTTTTCAACGAAATTTTGTACCACCAAGCCTAGTCTCCCATCAAACTCATTACATGACATCTGCAGAGATTCTTCAAATTTACACCAGACTCCAAGTGTCAGAGCAGCTAGGAAAAATGGCAGTTTTCATGATGACTGACATTGGATATGCGGTGGTGACGATGATGAGACGCAAGAGCACACAAAGACAGGTGTTCACGCAATATCTACACGACTGTGTTATGTGCTCTCGAAGCTATCACTATCATATATCACTGACTGATTACAGCCACCGATGTATAACGAGCACCACCTCTCGTTATTTCTTTCTCGATATGATGAGCTGCAGATCTCAGCCGGATCAGCCAGCCCAATGGCTATGATGCATTTGCTTTTCGTGGTTAATGAACTTTACAAGCAGATTTGATGATCACAGCTGTTCGACTGCAAAATTACAGAGCATCGATGTAATACCAACAAGGACAAAATAGTAAACCAAAAACTTAAAGGCACCACCGTAAGTTAGGGTCTTGAACCTTTGGCGGCTTATGATAGTGGACCCCTTAACCCAAGTCGGCATCGCCCCTCTCCAGTAATGCCCGCCCATCCAATCACTGTTTTGGGAAGCCGGTCTGCGGGTTTTTGGAACGGGGATTGTTGGGGTTTTGGCGGATTCTCGACTTCATACTCGGAATCACGTACAGTAAGGAAAAGATCGGCCCGGGGATCGAAAATGGAAATCGAGAATCTGGGTGGACGGTACCTACAAAGGTTGGCTAAAATTTGATAAGTCAGCTACTAGCAGGTATAATTTAGAATTTACAGAGCTAACTGTATGATTATTCCGCTTAACGTTAACCAACTAAGGGAAAAGAATTAATATCTCGATTTTTGAAATTTCAAGAGGCCAAACTGCATAAGTTATCACAGCAATTTATGTTCACTTTCGTACATGAGTATGACGCGGTTGTGAAGTACATTTCATACCGAAGCATTCTTAGACTATGTAAAAAAAAAGTAAATTTCACGCAAGCAAAAAGAGGCATTCAAACCTTGCACTGAATTTTTCTTGATCCTCTGAGATCAACATCAACATTTAAAATATTAAATTTCTTGACCACTTAGAATGTTCAGAAAACCGTATAAGATATATTATGATTAAAGAATTTCTGGGCTTTGGAAATCAAGCCATCGTTGAGTGATGACCTTCAAGTAGGTAGTTTGCTCCTCAAACCAAAAATGTAGGGATATTTTGTGGACGAAACTGTGTTGATTCGTCTGTTCAATCGCTTAATGACATCGTATGACCCATTGAAAATTGCTCCTTTGATCTATGGGAAATTAATGAATTTTTGTGTCTGAAGCACAAAACTATTTCATGCAAGCTGATAGCTGTGGACCTTCCTAACTGGTGAATTACTACATGATAGATCTAACTTTTGAAATTCACGTTAGCTCAGCGTCCGCACTAGACATTGGCCACGCTACTATATATAACCCTTAGTTGAAAGTAAAGTTTCACAAGACAGAATTCTCCAACACCACTACCAGCAGAGCAGTGCTTATTATTCCGCATCATTGATGAAAACTAATAGCAACTGTTCCCAGAGACTAATGTTTTGCGACATCAATGCAGCCAGCACGAGCCATTTGCCGCGCATATCATCAGTTCTTCTTATGCAAGCACCCACTGATCTCCTAATGCACTTCTAATGTCCTGAAATGTAAGATCGTAACTGCTTCGAGAGCGACAGCAGTCGGTCGCAGATGGCGCGAACGCTGAGTGGCTGGGCGTCGAAAAACGCGCAGCGCGTGGAATTTATCGCACTGCGATATCGACGGCGTGTGGAGGTGCGGCGAAGCGCGCGCGCGCGTCGAGACATCATGGGACATTACGGCGAAGAAGTGTTGGCTTGGCTAGCAGTTCGGATGACAACCATCGAGTGTCATCATCGATTAGAGTGCTGTGATAAAAAATGATAACTGAACAACTGTCGATTCGCTCTTGATATCGATATCCTCTCTGCTAGGCGACGAGCGCGGTGCTCTACGATGTGACGGAAGAAATTCCTCGATGCTTCGAATATTACCGAGGGACAGACCCACCAATGTCTAGGGAATGCAAGAAAATCCAAGAAAAGTTGGGAAAGTTCCGAGATTCCATATTTGCTCATAGGATATGCTAGAGTAGCTAGAATGTAAGATTATGACGGCATGACGAATCTCTTTCCTTATGCAGATTTCCCGGAAGCAATTGCGTTAGTCTGGTAAATACGATGCAATGTAGTACCCAGGTACTGACAACACTTGCGCAAGAACAGCAGTGCTTTAAGACACATTTCCACGAAGGAAAAAAAAGACGCTAGAGTGCAAATTTTCGGTTTTTACATCTCACAGCCATTTTTCACGTGCAAGTTGTGGGAAAGGTAAAAGCATCGTATCCAAGGCTCGGCAAGAGGTGGCTTTTGGAAAATGCAAAAAACGAAGTTTCCCCTTGACTTTCGCGAAATTTTACGAAGTCATGTCCCCTTTGACCCTAAACCCTAAACGAAAAAAAGACCAACGAAAAACGAAAGTCGAAAAAAAAAGAAAGAAAACTCCGCGATTTTTGTGTCCTTTCGGCCTCAAAAACGATACCTTTGCTTTTTGTCCCAAAAACGATATTCAGCTTGCTTACAAGTCACCTGTGCCGGGCTCTGATCGTATCGACAGTCAAATATCCTATACCAAACGCGAGTTAACACGAGAACGCGAGTCTTCGACAAACAGAAAACCTAGGCTCCGTTACGCTAGCGCTTCAGGCTCAGATGCACCAGACGCAGACGCCACTAATTTCGCACAGTCTAAACTTATTTAACACCTGTAGTAATGGACATATACTTAAACGCTGTTATACCTCTGGACTGCTGATTTTGATGTCATATCTATTTAGCTGAGCATTTCTTACCGATTACGGTAGTGACTATATACAGTAGAGTAGTTTTGTACCTTACATTAGTATGTGCGAATGCAAACACTATCCATATCACGATGCCATAATGGTTGTCGATGGCTATAAGGACAAATTTCTTCCGATAAAGCGCTTTATTAGCGCCTCATAATAGTTTGTGCTCAATTCAAGTCAGGGAGCCGTCTGAATTTTTTCTGAAGATATGCAACGTTCAACACCTATGGTCAATATGAACGGTGTTGCATTAACACATAGAGAGAGCGAATGGACGTTTTTTATTTTTTATTCATCAAAAGCAGTTGATGACAGAAGGACACCATATACCATAGCGACTACAACCCCGCTTAAAACTTGGATCAGCAGGCTAACTTCACCCGAAGTTTATACGCAGACTTGCATACTTCAACCTAACCATCCCACCGTAATCCACACAAACTACGCTTTGATTCAACTGGCTTGACGGTTGGAAGGCGGGGCTTCGTGACCCAAATAAGGCTATGATCAGAGAGCACGCGCGCGGGAGGGGCGCAGGCAGGTGCGAGCGTCCTTAATTAGGTCACAAAGCCCCGCCTTCCAGCCGCCAAGCCAATTGAATGAAAGGTTATGCTTATGCCTGCCAAATTTGCTCGTGATTTTCAAAACTTTAAAATCTTATTGAAACTTTCCAGGCGCAAAACATAATCGCATCAGAACTCCAAAATAAAGTTGCTGTCAAAATCCTGTCGTCATGTAAGCCCGAGATCTCAGCACGCAAAAGGAAGCACTCTGAATGAATAACGCTGCCAACCAAAATAACAAAGGGGAGTGCATTATTGGGAAACGTTTAGCGCTTATCCGTCTCTTTACGGATGTGATAGTGAGAATAAAAGAGCTGAAACACATTTTGTGAAGTGTTTTTCTGACCCTTATGCACATTAGGCTTGCTTCGCAATGGTACTCTGGAGCTGCTGTTGACGTTTGGAGGGAATCAAAACTGTGGTCTCCAAAACCTTGACGAAGGCCGATGAAAATCTGCAAAAATTAGAGAACAGCGCAAACTTATATTGTGCTGACTTGATTTCACAGTATATGTGTTCTGAGAGCTTTTTGTGTTATTTTGCTTGTTTTGTTTTGTCGGCTTTGACCTAAGGTGATCCTGTGAATAAATGGAATGAAGTGTGAAGAAGGAGACATGCATCTTGGATCTGTCGTTGTGAAACTCGGCTGACACCAGACGTTAAAAAATTGAAAGAAAGCAAATGCAAAAGAGTCGAAACGTAACTGATTCGGATGGATGCATGAAGATGGTTCACAAGCTGCGAGGAAGAAACAAATCAAACTCGACTGGTAAAGGTAATGTATCAAGCTATCTTGACGCTGTATACCGCAGCACAAGCTTTCTAATTTGAAAAATACAAAATTTACCAAGAGGCCTTTTTTTTGAACATCAAAAGCTAATGTGACATTCAAAAACTCTCCTTATTGAATTTAATGACACGAAAAAACTCTTTCTCGCATCGGCGAATAGACCATAGTAGGACAAGATGACAGTGCATTTCGATAAAAACTTACCACTCAAAATTAAGACGAACTAACCAAATGTCTATTTTCCAAACGGCTCGCATTCGATAGACTCATGGGAATTTTTTTGGAATTTCATAGCGCCTATACTTCAGCAACTGTAAAATGATTCAATTCTATATCGCTAATGCACATTCGAATGTAAAGTATATGAAAAAAGACAGTGCTGAAACATACACGCCGCGATCGTCGTCGTTGGTCGTCATCATCAGGGACAGCAACAACTGACGCAATATGCTCGAGATATGATGAGATTTCATTGCAATTGATAGGTGCACGAAAACAGCAGCACACATCCCGGACGATGCAAAAGCAATGACTGGGGCGAAATCCGTGGTGATCGATTAATTATCGACTCGAGTCTGGAAGATAGATCAAAGTGAGCGATCGTGCTATTAGAATCGTACTACAATAGCCGCATTTATCATGATCACTTGCAGCAAGTAATATTTTAGCAGCATCTACTCTTTGATGTAGAGCTTATGTAATAATCGAAAGATAAAGGATTCGGCGACTTCAATACGCTTTGCGGATATGGGCTTGACTGCCACGGATGCGGAACGAACCTTGATTTCACGGCTCACAGGGGCACCTCCTACCACTACGCCACTCGACACTTGTAAGATTTCTGCATTACGAGTTGGTCAAAGCCACAGATAGACAAATCTCCTCTACTCGATAGCTCTTCAGTTTGGACCCGCAACACTGGCCATTATTGTTTGTCAAACAATGACGGTTGAATATAGTTGCCCTCAAAGTTTCAGTCAGTTCCGTGCAAATGCACAATTCTCCAACTCGCGGTGAAGCACGCTTGACCGTTCGCAAAAGGTGGATTGCTACGTTTTCAATTTTTTTCTATTAGTTTTGCTACAAAGCATTGGCTATGAAACTTTGGAAAAAACCCTCAAGTAGTACAAAGTTTTGTATTCGTGTTTGGACGCATTCATTAGCAGCCGTGAGCGCAGTCCTAAGTGCAATCAAAAGCTAAAAGCTTTCCGAACTCACCGCTCCAATATTTTACTTCGATTTTTAGCTCCCAGAGAATACGCTACTGCTCGACAGGCTAGAGCTGATTCTCGGCTATAAGTGAGTTGCCGCATGGACAATGGTTTAGTTAGAGGCACAGTTTAAACTAGAGGCACTGTTTGATTGAAACTGAGGTAGTACGGTTCTTCACATTGATTAAGAGTCACCCTAACTAGACCACTGTAGAAGTCCGACTTTGAAAGCTCTACTTTGAGAAAGTTGCACCCAAAGTGGCCCGCAGAGGGTTCTCGCTCCGCAATTCGCCGGACTCTCTTCGTGTCTCAACAAGTCCTTCTAGGTGATGGCTTCCTTGTTAACGTGTTTGAATCTTTCTTCGATTTATTAAATAATCAATCTTAGAGGCAGCATTCACTTAAAATCTAGTCTCTCCAGATTACTACTTATCCTACTAGAAGGCTCTCATAGTAGACCATCCGCCTTGGTTCGGTCCGCTAATGTTGCCTACAAAAGGAGATAACGGACCTGGATCCTCTTTGAGCTCCGCCGCTTTTTTGCGCTCTATCCACCCACAAATTGCCCCGTGACGTGTTCTGACATGACAAGCAACGTCGAGACGCAAAGTTTGTGATGTGGCGCTGTTGCACACGACGAGGTTTCCTGTTGCATACGACATGACTCGCGGCGGGGCCCTCATCCAAATCTGCCGAATTAGGGCTTCAGAAAGGGGCTAGTTTGGAGCTTTTTGGTAATTTGAACCTCATATCAGCGCCATGGAAAGGCCAGATAACAATAAAAACATGGAAAACGAAATTCTGGGCGGACGCTGCCTTCAAACAATCTCAGTAACTCGCTATGAAACTGCCTTCAGATGTATCCCTGTTGCATGACGAGGCTACAGTACTTTGCAAACTATACCTTGAAGACCCGTCTTCTCCCTTTCTTTATTGGTACAGACTTGAACTTCAGGAAGCACTTGTCCATACTTGCAGTTCTTAGAGCGACACAGCGTATTGCGAACAGGACCACGTAACCAAGGTTTCCTGCTAACCCCATGATTTTCGTTAATCGATGCAGCGCATCATGCTGCTGGATAAATCCAAAATGCTACAGACTCTAAAGCATGTAGTCATAACCCACGACCATGAGTAACCTTCATTTTGACCCTCATTATAGCACACGTGTCTATTATTAAACGAAGGAGCAATAGCTGCATTAATTAAGCCGGCGCGAGCGAGGCGCGGAGGCGCCACATCGTTGTGGATCGGTGTCTATTGCTCTAGAGCAGGGCCGTGGTTCGAGTGCGGCTAGCCGCACCATTTTTACTACTTGACTGGCGACCTTATGATAGCGGCCGTTATCGAAAAATCGATAACGTAGCAGCTATCAAAAATTTCACCTAGCAAACAACGAGATAAAACAAATATACAATAATGTGGCACTCATACGAAGAAAAATTACACTTAGCGAAAAACGAATAAAAAGATAAATTTACCTCTTTGTCACCTGAGGCGGTTCTTCGGTAAAAAACGTGTATCATCTGTAAGAAAAATGCAAAAAACCTTTTTTTTCCATTTCTTCGCGCAATCGGCTGTTCGATCCTCACTCATTTGGGCGCCCGAAATTGTGCAGTTTTGGGAGTTTTGCACCGCTAAAGAACGTCAGCTGCGGTGTTTCGTAAGTTACTCGGGAGCAACTTACGGAGGTTTTCTCTGTGCTCTCCTCTTTAGCGCAATATTTACCTTATGTCGTCGCCCGGCTCATCTCCGATGACTCGGTCGGGAGCTGATCTCCCTGCCGGGCTTCATCTGAAGCTCACCTGTAGGGTGACCTTGCATACCTACACCACGGGAAAGTGGGCTGTCCTCATCTCATCCGACAAAGCCTCATATGAGGGCCTCAGGGGAGATCATCTCCCGTAACCGAGCTTTACTACGGCCCTATACGTCCCCGAAATGGGGGGTTCTCGCGGTATGTGCAACTACGCGACCTTTCACATGCATGGAGGTGCTTTTTGCGAGGAGTCCGGACCCACCTTCATTCGGCGACATATAGTGCTCCACCCATGACCGGCTCGCGCCCTGAATCGGTCCGATAGTAGACCTGCAAACGCTTCTGTGCTGAACGCGGTATGCTGCCTCACCCACGAGCACTCGAACTGTGCTTCAGGCGATCCTGATAAGATCTGGATTCCCAAGAAAGCACTGAAGTCGCTTCTGCATCTTCTTGACAACTGGGGCGACCTTCTCGTGGCCCGCACAATGTTGGTGCATGATCTATCATCAGGGTCAAGCGTAGGGTGTGCCATGCCACACCTGGGGGGTCGTTATCAAGGTCGTTATCCGCTGTTCGCATAACATGATATTCGTTAACAATGTCAAATAGGCTCGTCATGCAAAATACCAGCATACTGATGTTTGACCCATTATCGTATACGTACAGTTAGCATAATTAAAGATCTATAAAACATAAGAGCATCGTTTTGTGATTAGCAAGTAAAATAACTCCTGTGGTCCAAGTTTCAGCGAATTCTAAGGTTTCCAAATACAGGGCCACCTAAGGAGATGGTCGTTTCCAAACATGTTACTTTGTTTCGAAGATAAGACTCCTTTTTGCACTTAATAAAAAGAACTACTATTTCTTTGCTCACATTGGGAATCCTACTTCAAATTACCTCCAAGTTAAGGATTTAAGAGCAAGCCAAAATCTCCTCTGTTCCATTTTTCGTTCTCAATATCTCAGGCTAGAGAAGACCAATCAGGCTTAAATCACTTTAATGTAGATTACAAGGCTTAGGTTTGACAGGACATGCCGACAGGACATCCTGAGACGCTTATGTTTGACAGGACCTTCAAGTAATGCTATCTTGGGTATATAGTTAAGGGGGTCTTATTGAGACAGCAATAAGAGGAGGGGGGGGGGGGGTCATAACCAGCCATCGTGTGCCACACCTCTTGCTTGGCCCTTTCTATCATGATGATGCCTATTGTCAAAAGATTCTTTTCTCCATCATGCTAAGCCTTCGTTCTTCGTTGCATTGCACGTGCAAGGCCGGTATTCGCTGCCAAGTAGGTCGAGTTATTGTACGGTATACCCGTGGCTTGAGATGTAGTGGCATCCTCATGTCATATACAGGGCTTACGTCGGGTGCACCAGCATCTCCATTCCGCGCTGGACCTACGTCTCTTCCGAACATGCTCCCTAATCATTTCAAATCGAAGGCTCCGCCTTTCCCAGGCCTTCTCTGGAAAAATGACCAAGAGCACGTTCGCGAAGGAGGTGGAGAATCCAAGCGAAGCGGCCCGACACTGCAGTTGATAAGCCCTGTACATAATTTCTGCGAGGTGCCTCACTCCAACCAAGTGCTTTTTATCTGTCGCGTACCCTCGTCTTCTAGCGTGCGCAGAAATGCAAACTACAAATATCTGAAGGACGTGTCCTCTTAATCAGCTACGGACTCCCACTTCCAAGAACTCTTTGGTGTCCCTCAGTCATGTCACTCTAGCTTGGTACTCACATTTGCACGTTGATCTGGGAGACGGCCCTTCTGCACCGCTAGCCTTAGTAGCCTAATTACTGCGCGCCTATGATTGGTTGGCGCTGCCGCCAAATAGCTAGGTTGTCGTTAGAGTCGCAGGCGCTCTGTATCAGTCGAGTTATTCGCAACCACTCTTTCAAAAAAAAGCAAAGAAGATTGAGTTTTACACGAATTTTCAAAATGTTGGAAACGGGTGGCTTAAATAGGTTTTCGAGTTCATTTCACTCTGGTTTAGATTTCAGAGAAGGGCGAGGCAATTCCGAAATAGCGAGTAAAAAGCTCACTCTTCTCGTTTTGCCTTCGTAGATCACACGTCGTTTCTATATCTGTTCGAAAATATGCACTCGCTTGCTTCGAGATACTCCAGCATTTTACAAAGTTCTGCTGGATTAAAGGCGAGTAATTTAGCATCACTGGGGCAGGGTAATTAGCGCTAGGACGGAGCGGTGCAGAAGGGCATACACCCCGTTGATCTCTATCTCCTACTGTTTGCCATTAGGATCACATCATCGTATAGGAGTGCCAATAGGGGGGGGGGGCATAAAACTTGTAACTTTTGTCAAGAACAATTATGAAGAGGAGGGGTGAGAGGACGGAACCTTGATGTACGCCAATGTCTATCGGGAAATACTCTGATCGTTTCGCTGCTGTCTTGTCGCACCTCCACACATCATTCCTGTCCACTAAACATACTACTCTGGTACCATGGGTTTTCTGTAGTGCTCAACAAACCCATTATGTAACTTTTTCAAATGCCTTCTGTAAAGGCAACATGCGCTTCATTTTGTTATTCTATACTCCTTCCCATCAATATGCTGACGGTATTAAATGTACCTGCT